CCATATAGTAAATATCGATTTATTTTATTATCACGTGTGCACCAGCTGACTGTGGGTGACTCCTAGTTTTGTCGTCTTTTACGGCCCATTCACACCTATATATTTTGCAGACGTTGACCGGTGAATACGTAGCCCGGTATTATCGCACACTGGTTGAATGGAGCACAACGTGAGGTGTGAGCGAAGTGAGACTAGGGAATAGTACAAACATGCGTGAATACATAATTCATCGGGGTGGGACCTAATCGTGTGTTTTATTTATTCATAATTGTATGTTTATGTGCAGACCCTAAGGGAGTCATAACGGTGTATTTTGGTGATCTAAATGATGATTAAACTTAGATGGTTAAAAGGTGGATAGCATCGCGTTGCTTCGTGTTCGATATAGGTCCCATGCGATATACAACACATGTAAGATACATTACTTGTTTTGCACGGAATTTGAATAATGCAACATGAATTTAAATTTTGTGTACACACATTGTGTACTGTTGTGAAACACAGTGACGTGGTGCTTTAACTCAAGGAGAAGAGCCCCCCCCCCCCAATCGATCTATCTGCAATTGTGTCAGTCGTTATAATTATTTTGACCTTTTGACCAGTGCAGGTTGGTTTCAGTCGTCGGATTCAACAAATCGATGGGCGTATGGTGTCTTGGAGGACATATTAATAATAACATAGTTTTCGTCGTTGCTTGGTACATACGTTGGCTATCGCCATTTCTAATAACGACTAATACTTCGTTACTCTGGCCAACAGAGATATGCATCGGTGAAGAATGTAATGCATTGTTTCCCGGGTGGTAATGAGTTCTCCCTTTAATATATTTGCGGCGACGTCCATAGCGATATTTTTTACCGTATCTGTTGCAAATAATTTAAATGTAATACATCGATGATACACGTACACTGCATGTGAAGGCATAGTTTCTTCTGAATGATACGTTAACTTCTGGCATACAATCTATCCAGTCCTCCACTCACTATATGACACTCACAAATGCTAGTAAATATTAATTGCGCCCAGCTATTTGCTGCTTGTTCACTCGCCTTGAGATCGCACGATTGTGGGGCGGGGGGATTCTCTACGTGCCGCTATTTCTAACTGACCAAGAAACAGTACTTAATATTTTACCGAAACGGCTTTTGACGTCTCATAATGTGATACAGATATCTGAATAGGTAATGAGATATTACTATCACTGTACCTAGGCGTTTAGTGATGTAAGGCACAGTGGGGGACACCTCGTAGATTCTATGCTGCTAGACATTGAATAGTCGGGGTATATAAACGAAATTTACGTGCGATCACCCAGTAATAGCGGCCTTGTTCAATTTGGTATAATCTGTCGTTACAACGTGACAATGACAATCGCGACTATCATCCTGTACTTATATGGACGTACGCATCGGTACAGATATATGTAATGTATGTCCTTCTTCTTAAATGGAATTGTTTACACGTCTAATGGATGTGGAATTCATCACATGTATATGTGACGATGTGATCAACCATGAATGCATTAAAATCCACGTATACACTTTGCATTAAATCAAGTTACGAGCCTAACGAGGCATAAAATAAGACAAACCATCGACAACATTAAATGATAAAGGTTTTTTAGCGGGCAGCTGCCCCAATCTCCTATATGTGTGTTAACTTTTCGTATATTCCATTATACATTCCGAGGTGACATTCCAATAAAAACTGCACCTACTTGTATCAAAGTCACTCTCTTAGTAGAGTGACTGTGCTTGTATTAAGGAATTAAAAAAAAACTTTTAAAAATAAATATAAATATATCCTCGGGTCCACGTTTAGCGTTATAACTAATGAAAATCTTTTCCAATAACAAGCAATCTTTATCATACATATACATATAATAATGTGTCAACCAATTAGGAAATTATTATTATAGCTTTAATTCAACAAATGCTTAAAAATACGCATTTTTAATGGGATTGCAGTGACTCGTTTTCATTAGAGAAATTACTGCATTTAATATAATATCGGTGAAAGACTTGTGCATATGTTATTCATTCATTGTAACCAATGAGTTCTTTACGTTTTAGTGCGTCGTTATCACGGTGTCGGAGTACACTCATTCAAGTTGCAGCTCATAGTATTTTATTCTGTGAGTGTCATTATGCTCATAAAGCAGCCAACAGTTTTATAAGGATTCCGTGTGCTCAGCGCCTACTAAAGCATATTTTCTTTACATTTATAACAAATGGAAACCATACTAAGCATGTTAAAAACGTGATACATAATATTTTTTATTTTGTGTGCGTGGGCCTTGCTCTCTCGTTGCTATTTTTAAAATGACTGTAGATAATATCCCTGGTCCATATTATAGCGGGAAGTCGTCACCTGCGTTTTTAGCGTATGTTTTGGGACATCAATTCCCACGCCTGCGCAGGTGAGGACCCTCCAACTTTACATTTATGTTAACGTATCTTAATGAGGTTGTTTTCAATGTTTCAATTTATCCACCCATTGCGCACCGGCTACCAAGTAGTTGGGAGGAAATCGAATTCTCTTCTCTGCGTGGTCAGATAATTGAACCCATCAGATAGCATCGAGTGGTTCGATATCGTAACAGATTACTTTGTGATCTATGACCTCTACCAGTTGGAGTCCTACAATTTTACGCGATTCCACATCCTGCTGCGCGCTCTAAGAGTAAATCCACTCAAGACCGGACTTGAGCACACGCTGCTAATCACTAATTGGTATACGTCTACTTTCTCGTTACGTTGATGAAATGGACACTATAGTGGGATGCGTTGGACCGTAAATCGACTGGGGAGAACGTAGAAACTCAGGATTTAATTGTTTCAACTTTTTCGCCTGGAATCGAGAGAATTTAAACATCATTTGTTGTGTAACTGCAATATGGATGCATCTTTTGTCCGTTACACGGGGAACTAACTAACTAACCATCGAGCGTGTTTTGTTCATACGTACGCCGCGGTCGTCAAATGGAGAATACATTCAAGGAAGCGTCGACAACTCACGGTGCCTCATCGGAACATAGGCGAAAAGGTGGCTGGCCGTGGTTACTATTCTGTTGTATATGTGTGTGTTTTTCATTCGGCGCCTATATTGTGCTCACACTTTATTGGCTTTCGGAACTTAACAGTAAAATACACGACGGCGATGACAAATTACTTGTACTTGAAAGACGTATCGCGAAGTTGGAAATAGATAACGTACAGCAGGGAAAATCCACCATGACAGTTTCGGTGAGTTAACACGTTGAATGTCGCACCCCTCCAAAAAAATGTTGCATCATATTGTTATGTTTAGTCTAATGTGTTTTTATAGATATTCATTTCCCCCTCACAAGAACCCAAGATGACATTTGTACAGCTGTAAGATAAACATTTGTTTCTGATATCCATATATCGATGTTGCGGTTTAGACTGAGTGAAGAGTCAATAATTTGTAATTGCTATCTGTTTTATCGTACAGCAACACACCGCCACGATTTGTTTATTTACGCTAATTTCTCAAATTACGCTCAGCGAATAAAAACACACATTACTAACAGAAAGGCCTTGAACAAGTTCGAAAGCTGATAATGGTTTTAAATCTTCTTCTATGTCACATTACTTTTCAAAGAATCGAGCTCACCGATATAAACGGGACGACAAAAGCAAGGACGAAGTGCTAAGCTGTTTTATCTGCCCACCAGGTGAGGACACGCTGATGTGAATGTATCGTACTGTATACGTAGCCCGTGTGGGCCGACCCTGTCAATGTTGTCCAAATGTTTCATATAGTTATGTCGTATACCAGCCACAAGTTCACGTTGATGATCGTCAGCGATGACAAGATTTGCTTAAAGGATAACAAAACGAAAAAAATGCGTCACGTATCATTCTTGTGATTGCCGACCATACCTATATGATATTTATCATTATGTGTTCAATTTCCAGTAATCTAGCACTTACGAGGCTCATGGGAATTAAGGTGACGGTAAAATGTAGAGCAATTATTTCGTTAAAATAAATTATATAACCGTACACAGTTCAGTAACTGTGTGTTTATTTATTTTCATGTTGTATATTATATTATATCATAGAATAGAGTTATTATTCGTTTAACATATCGGAATTAACATGGCCACTGATCGACAATATTATTAGAAACTTACCTGACATTGTCACAATTTTTATAACTTTAGTATTTTCCCTGGATATTTCATATTGATAATCAAACATGCCGAAAGTTAAAATGCTGTTAGCTCACAAATGAGTTAAAATAATGAAGTACGCAAATGCGCATGCATGCCTAATTAATGGTACGTACTTATAAATGACGTGCGTTTATTATTTCATTGAACGAATGATTTTGTTTTTGCCTCCAATGCGATGTCCTTTAATTATTTTTGATTACAATCTGTAATATTATCCAAGTTCAGATAAATAACTGCATATTTGAAAATAAAAGTGGAACAAATTAATCATGATGGAATAAGTGAACACGTTTTGAAACGTTGGTGTTCGAGAGAATATAAAATGCATATGAATTGATACATTTTAATCTTTTACAAATGTTCTTGAAATGTTTTTCTTAACACTGAGTGACGCGTGTTACTTAACGTAATACATTCGGATAGAGAGACTGTGATTCGTATTAGTAAAATAACCACACAATCAATATTTAATTTCGCATGGGTTTCAGCTGAGCCCAGGTCGCAATGACAAGTATATAGTACATTAACGGATGAGTTTCATAGAAACCACGTAGTCCACTTTAAATCTGACGGAATGTATACACTGTATTCATGGTACCATGTAGCTAGAAAGCGGGCTTTCTTTCTCCAACCGCTTTTTACAATTTTACAATTAATCCTGGTATTGAATAGTATTCAGTTTTATGAACATCTGGTGACGTCATTCTTGAAATTTTCTTTTTTCTTTACACTCAGGACCGGAAGGATTACAGGGACAAAAAGGTAAGTACGTCATGACGTCACTTGATTTGCAGTGATAGGGGGCTAGGGTACATCTGATTGGACGAAACAACGCGAGGAGTAATCCAATGTTACATTGCTCACGCTGACATCAGCATTCCTGGCTGTGCGGCCATTCCTCTTTTTGTGTCGTAAATGTTGTGTATGTGACACAATTAAGATATATTAGTTAAAATTGAAGAGGTATACAACAGTGGCTATCGTATTCCAAGAATTAAATGAATGCACACGCGCACGGAGCCATTTTAATCACTTTCACCGAAATGTCACGTGTGTATTGTATATCAAAGAATAATTGTATTTGCAAACCAATTGTTTGTTTTCCTTAATGGTTTTCCGCAATTATAATTTACCGTTGTCAGATTTCTCTGAACTTCTATTTTTAACTATTTGATTGGTTAACCTAAATGAATCAATGTTTGTTTATCGGTGGTATTTGGGTGTCGTGACGTAATACGTACAAATAGTGTCATCTTTTAAAGTATTATTGAAGAGATAATCGGCAGAGTATATATTTAAATTATACACTGTGTATTCAAGGGACTCAAATTCTAGGATAGGGTGGTGCATTAAATCAGTGTGCAAATTATGACCGTAAACTTAGTGTGTGAATTATTATTTTTTGAGCTACTAGATTTTTCAAGATAATATTGCTGGAAATATTTTGCTAGCTTCTAAAATATACAGTGAGTAGTATCAACACACCACATCACATGCCATCACATTTGCAACAGATATTTGCTGTGGACACGGCTAATTTTCTCTAGCAGATGTGTTAGCCCGCCGTCAATCCAACGAACGGCTGTTTTGCAGTGAAATATAATATGTGACTCTGATTTGTTGATGAAAGAGTTTCAATTATATTTTATCCCTGAAAAATAATTGATTGGATTTATCTGTTTTATCCCTCAACCTTGCGAGGAAGCATATTGTAATGAAGGCGTGAAACCCCAAGTCCGGTTAAAGCGTGGGTGTCGTAACCTGCGCATGCGTCAAATGGCCATAGCGTGTCATTGTTTACAAACGGACGTCTATCCGTGAGCCTTTGCGTCTGGGCTCAATTCCCGCGCGTGCGCAGGTGACATCCCTCCCGCTTTAATGTATGGATGCTGTACCTTGCTCTATTGTGTTCTGTAAAATAGTGATTTGCCAATAATTGTGTTATCCGATATTTGAAAGACTGCATATGACGTCAGATCGATCTGTATTGTAATTTTAATTTATTTAGTGCGCAGTGTAATCTGTTCCCTAAATATATTTATATGTAGGCGATGAAGGTCCACGTGGAAAACGAGGAAGACGGGGCACTGCTGGAAAACAAGGTCAGGTTTGAACGAGGTGTACGTTTGCTTAATTTTGACTTACGGCGAAGCGAGGTTGTTACATTGTTGTAGAATAGACATAACGTGTATTGGAAACTCTCCTGGCACGCTATAGGACGAAAATTTGTTTCCATCATATTGGATTTTGCAAAGGATTGAAATTTGAACCATAGAGGGCGCTTGGATCTCACACATTTTTCATACAGCCCTGTGCTAACATCAACTGTGAACCTTTCCTGTTTTCAAGTAAAGTCGTTAGTTTTTTTTTTTTTTATTTTATGATTATGATGTCGGGCTCAAAAGTAATTTCACTGGGAAGACTGTTTTCAAGATTCAAGAGTTTTTACTGTTTTTGGCTCCAAGCTGCTTATCTGTAGACATCTTAGAAATACTGTCAAGCATGTTGGATTAGCTATACGTGCCATTTCAGCAAATTTGACTCAATGCACAAAGTAACAGAATCTTAATTTAGCTAAAAAATCTGTTGTGCGGTAATTGATGATATATCGATTACTTTTTCTAAGGTCAATAATTACGTCAAACTGGTGTGAAAATTCCGCTGTTTTAATTTGATTATGTTGTGCAATAAAATTACACCGGAATAATATTAGACTGGCAAAGTCTGGACGACTTATTTCTTTTTTAAGTTTAAAATAAAATACAAATATCGCGAAATTCCCTGTACTAATCACATGTCATTGTGGTTTCGTGTTCATTTTTTTCAAGTTTGTTATTATTATAATGTAACTTGGCCAGTCTAGAATACTACTGATGCGTGGAGTTTCAAATAGCTCCATTATAACGCAACGTAATGTAAAACAGATTATCGGTATGCACAGACAAGTTGAAAGGACTGCTGCGACCTGGGTAGTACGGGTGAACAAAATGTCGACACACATCCCCAGTCTAATAGAGCAGTTCACATACAAAAATAATTAACGTCTGTGTCCGTACTTCTCAGGAGCTAAAGGAATGCAGGGAATTCCTGGAATGAAGGGAGATATCGGAGAAGCGAGTATAGGCCCTCCTGGAATACCGGGGAAAACTGGACAAAAAGGTATTACATCAATGATTTATAAGTCTTGTCTTCATTGTATGATATTATCACGTGTGGAGTTTCCATGGCAACAGTAATGCATATCTAAATGAAACATTGGGATTACATCAAATCTCTTCTATACGTATAATTATATTTTTCAGATTCATTGAATTGAATGAACAGCACTATTCCATATTTTATACGCACACTTCTAGTTTTCAGAAGTTATGCTAATAAGTAAACTGGACCATTGGCCCCCCCGCTGTTGTTTTGAGACGCTTTAATTTACGCTGTTTTGGTCTGATTGTTTGATTGAGACTCGTGTCAACGCTTAAATGTAGACATCTAAAAATACGGCAGTTTTAGAAAATCACTATAACTACGCCGGAGACTTTAATATAGCGTTGTACATGTAAATTGCATTAACTACGTAATGTCACATGTATTTTAACAACTTATCTTATCCTCGGGGGCGGACATCCGGGCATTTTCTACCGCCTGGCAACCCTCGCGGTGAAAACAAAGACCAAAAACTCGCAGAAAACGGTACTTTCCGATGGTTGTTGAGATTCCCCTGAACAGTGTAACAAGATTAGCCCTACGTGTGTAACATATATGAATTTGGTTGTTCAGGATTACTTCAAAGTTGAGTTTGTGTTGTTTTCTCGAGTTTTCACCGGCTCCACGGCGTTCCACAGCAGCGCGCACAAAGCCCCATAGAAATACGTGGTACAGTGGTACGCGTCTTAGCAACGTAGAACGTCCGTGACGTAGCTCCGCCCCCGAGGATATGTGTAAATATCTCCACGTGGGAGATGTAAAACCTTCAAGAGCCACGATTAAATGTAAAGATATAACTTAAATTCTAAATTGTGAAAAGGCGGATTACATCTATTCTTGTTATATTGCGATCATATCACGAGAGAACGGAGAGATGAATTTAAAATAATGCTTGCTATCTACAGTTTGATTTCCATCATGTGCGGCGTAAAATTATTTTTATAGTAATGTTTGCACAAACCAGATAACGATGATATTATATGGTAATATCATCTCATATTATATATAGTGTATCGGCCCAATATGTGTATTATAATATATGAATGATGATTTTTTTTTTGAAATATCATAAATATTTTAAGGAAAATCACACTTATTCTAAGACGTGATGGGTAGCGTTCTATCCCACGATTCCTTACTTCTTTGCCTTTGAATCTTGAAGAAGCGAACGGAGCTATATTTTCACATGACATCTACACATGAGTTTGTTCCGAATTTTCAGGTGAAAGGGGTGCAACGGGCCCAATAGGCCCAATGGGTCCACCGGGAAAGCAGGGAGAAATAGGATTACCGGGAGTTAGGGGACCGAGGGGTAAGTCTCACCATCGTTTTTATACTTCTATAAAGATATTGCATTTATTTGAATCATTCACACAGTGGAATTGGGTTTACATGTAAATAACCGTCGATTGTTGTGCCATGTAACTATATGAGACTGAGGTCGTAACGGTAGTGCCAATATACGTACGGTTACTCGTTAACTCCATTGACATAAGAACATTGACAACTAATCATAGTAGGCTGCTGTGATAGTTGTAGTCAGATTTCAATTTGAAATCCATTAAGAAAGTAACTATAGATGTGTAATTTGTCGTCATGGCAACTGTACTTTGCGGCTTAATTTCTCGCTGAATTTTTATTGGCGTTCCACGCAATGTGGATATTTTTTGTTATGGCCGCGTTGTTATAAAATGTTTTAGTTTAGTACGGTTAGACATTTAAATTAATACGAACATTGAATGTTACTCATCTTCAGCTTAAAGGGCGGTGGTCGTCGCGCAGCGTACTGTTCGATATGGGACTCACAGCGACGTATGCAACGCGTGTAAAATACATTGTTCGTTTACATGAAATTCGAACACGCGCTGCGTCACGACCACCGTCCTTTTAACCAAACACAATCGACTACGTTTTAGGGATTGTGGTAACAAAAAATCGGCAACAATCGTAAGTTCGAAAAAGAAGGCAATTTGTTATGCCAGTATTTTTTTCGTGATAATATATGCATATGGCTATGGATGATAAGTCCGTGAGTTTGTATCGGTTTACTTACCTTTGACCTGGGAGTATCACATCGGAAAGTTGGTAAAATAAATCGACTATGTACATTTACATATAACACAAAAGTGTTCACCATAGACCTTATTCAAGCAATACTACAACATGAGTAAGCATGACAACACAAATGAACAATTACATTATATACTTTCTACCATGTCCATAACAATACGTTTGTTTTCACTTACCAGGTCATCCAGGCAGTCGTACATTAACAGAAGTAAGTTAAATTGACACGAGCCCGCTAACAACGAGAAGACAGAATTCAAAAGTAGTAGTCATGTTAATAACAGATTTATTTACTTATCCATTAAAAGACCATTTTCCGTTCACTTCGAGATCTCGAGTTATACGCGAAATCAGAGGTAAAATAGGGAAAAAAACAAAGGTCATCGCGTCGTAGTGACGTAAAAACATCGCGCGTGATTTGTTAAACGTGAAAGCAGTTTTATGTTGCCTTTTTTTGATCATTTTTGATGAAGTCAGGGTATCTCAATGCAATATTTCCCTTTTCAATTATTGGCTTTGAGCTTAAAAAGGAAATTTTAATTCGAAATCAAATTGTTCGATTTTTCCTGTCGATGTTCGCAGTGAAGGAAACACATAATTTTCACCACCTCCAAGTTGTGTTTTAAACCTTATATATTCTTATATTTAGATTAACAGAAAATCTCAGGCCATCCACTTGCAAGGGAACAATGGTAATCGCTTTCCTAGTCTCCAAAAACTTGGTAAGAACAATCAGGAATTAAATAAATGCGCACCTCTTCAGCAGAAACTACATTTATAGTCTTCAGTATTCCCTGGCCCAACATGCACGTAATCATGGGTTGTCCAACAATCATTATATACTTTACGTATTGGGGAATTTACTTTACGTATTGGTGAGTTTACTTAACGTATTGGCGAGTTTACTTTACGTAGTGATAGGTTTACTTTACGTATTGGTGGATTTACTTTACGTATTGGTGATTTTACTTTACGTATTGGCGAGTTTACTTTACGTATTGGTGATTTTACTTTACGTATTGGTGATTTTACTTTACGTATTGGTGATTTTACTTTACGTATTGATGGGTTTACTTTACGTATTGGTAGGTTTACTTCACGTATTAATGAGTTTACTTCACGTATTGGCGGGTTCACGAAACGTATTGGTGGGTTCACAACACGTATTTGTAAGCTTGCGACACGTATTGATGGGTTTACGTTACGTAGGAGCATCAATACTCTACAGTAATAATGGTAATACTGGTGGATGTGCAGAGTGTTTAATAATTATGATACACTTTATTAATGTATTGGTAGGTTATTTAGTAATAGAAAAACATAAATATTGGCAGTTGTAATACAGGTGACGTATTGGTTGAAGTGTGTCTATTTTTATTTTACCCAATTCGACAACTTATTCTTGTTTACCTAGATCGATTTGGTGTACTGAATAACTGGCGTGTCTATAGTAATTCTGGAGGGTTTACATTACTCGGTAATGGCAATGTTACAGTATCTGAAAAAGGACAATATTACATATACAGTAATGTAAGTATGTAGTAAATGAAGTCAAATCACGTGGTCTACTCGTTTGTGAGATTACGTCAAACATCATACAATTAGAAGCAGTTGTAAATGTGTGGTTGACGTTAATAAAACAATTTTAACTATTTGAAAAAAATACTGGTACGATTGTATTTTCGGATCAGAGGCTGTACACATTTGGTACATACGTAAGCTAAGCATGGGAAATTTCTAACATCATATTAGAAAACGTAGCACGCGAAAAGAAAAGAACAAACACTGCTGATAAAAAAATGTTTGAAATCTAGTTCAGTGTACAGATATTTCGCCGATACTTGTTTAATACGTTTATGATTAGGAATCGATGTCAGGGACTGTGTAACAGTTTCCGGGCGTAAGTACTTTTACGAAATGCTTCGTTGAAACTCAGACTAGTAATACATGTATTACTAGTCTGAGGTTGAACAATCATAACACGGAACAAAATAAGGTTTCAGGAAGAAGAAGGTTTAAACATTTTGACACCAACCGCGCCAAATATACTTTCGTTGTTAGTGTTGTATTTAATTGTTGTTAAACTTTTATAACAAGTATTAGGAGTTTTCATGAGTAAATAAATAAATAAACAACCTTCATTTTACAGGTGCTGTTCTATGACGACGGGGCATTGTTTGGAGCCCACACTACCATTAACGGAAAACCGTTCCTGACTTGCAGCGGAGTTCGAGCGAAGGCGGCGTTGAAATTCGGTACCTGCTACTCCAGCGGAGTGACACACCTAAACAATCAAGACATGATTGGTATACGATCTGTCTATCCTGCTCGTATAGTAGATATGCACTCACAGTCCACTTATTTCGGAATAATTAAAGTGTGAGATAATTAATGCGATCACGTGATCTTAATCAGCATTTCCGTGAGTTGATAGACGTTTACAATATTAAATGATAATACATAATTACAGATTTTAAGTCCATTTTAAAAATATAATACTATTAATTAAAGCGCGGTGGTCTTCGCGCTGCGCATGTGCGACATTTGTGTTGATGAACATTGACTTTCCCACAATCCAATGGAAATCACAAGAAGTACACAAGTATGAGGTTTGATCTGGGCGCGACTTGCACTGAATACCACCGGTAACTCCTTCGATATCTCCAATCA